CTGGGCGGGGCCTACGGGTCTGGGGCGCATGCGTTTTGTAGTAGGATCCGCGCCCTCCACTAGGAACGGCAGTTTCTCCTGCGCCTGCGCAGGCTGGAAGCGCCCGGAAGCAGAAGAACGGGCGTGGCATTGGGGTGTGCGTGACCCTGACAGCCAAGGCAAGGTCAGAAGAAGAAAATAATGGGAAGGATTCTTCGTTATGACTCGCCTCTGCAGTTGGCATTTGGGCATCAGCAACATAAGGTCCAAAGGGTATTCGCCGTCAGAACCATAAAAAAAATCTAATGGCCAACAAAAACTCGGGTTGCTATTCATGCATTCATTCAATTAAAGCTAGCTTCTCAGAAATGCTTTTTCTGGTCTTTCTGTAAATTTACACCCCCCCCCCCTTATTTCCTACCACAGCGTCCTGTAGGACATATCCTTGTAATTTATCTGTTTGTCTTCTCCACACTACAATGTAAACTGAGTTCAGGAACTTTCAGCCTTTTTTCATTGTTGTATATTGAGCCTGGCACATCCCAGGTGCTCATGAATGAACAAACACTTTCGTGCCCATCAGAGTACAGGCTTTTAGAAGCAAAAAGAAAAAGACGTTGGCCAAAACCGGTTTGGCTCAGTGGATAGAGCGTCGGCCTGCGGACTGAAGGGTCCCAGGTTCGATTCCGGTCAGGGGCGTGTACCTGGGTTGCGGGCACATCCCCAGTGGGAGATGTGCAGGAGGCAGCTGATCGATGTTTCTCTCTCATCAATGTTTCTGGCTCTCTATCTCTCTCCCTTCCTCTCTGTAAAAAATCAATAAAATATATTTAAAAAAAAAAAAAGAAAAGAAAAAGACGTTGTCCTTACCCCTTCAGCCCCAACCCACATGTTCTATATCAAACAACGCTTAGTGAGACAAAGTGGGGCACAGAGAATGAAATGCCAAGACGTCTTGTATTAGATCCTGACTTTATTTTCTTTTTCCGGCTTTCTTTTGTATCGAAGTGATTCAGAAGTCATTTTCTCTTCTTTTGTTTTCAGATTTTGTACTGAAATTTAAGAGTAACACTAATACCTATCTCTCAGGGTTACTGAGCATTAAGTGAAATTGTGTACAGGATAAGATTTTTTAAAAACTGTATAATAAAAGACAAAAGTTAGTTTTGATTAATATTGTCCTGTACTCAGCACAGTGCTAGGTGATATGGGGAGGCAGTTTACAGAGCAGGAAGGAGCTGGGTCTTTAAGATTCAGTGGACCTGCTCCAAAGTCATCCTCTACCAGTTATTAACTGGGACTTTAGGCAAATCAGGACCTCTTTGAATCTTAGACAAATTAGTATTGTAATGTCTACTTCATACTGTTATGAGGATTGAATGATATAATAAGCCTACCCATCCTGGCACACAATAAAATAATATATAACTGTAGCTTTTAGGATGATAGGAAACATAAGTTGCTTCTAACGAAATCCAGAAAATTTTAGATATCAATACAATTGATAATCTAAACAACAGTGTCTAACCAGACGATGTCTGAGATCATTTAGCAAGAGGACTTTTAGTCATAGATTTGTATATTGGTGGTGCCAACAAAATATCCACTGTCTCTGCCCCACTGATACGTGTGGGCACTGAGCGGTACAGAGCCTCTGGCAAGAGTGGGTGGTTGGGAGATACAAGCGGCTCCACCATATTCTCCTATGGTACAGGATAGAAGTTGCCCATGAAGTTTGGGGAAGAATCTCAGAGGAAAGGGAGCAGAAGTCAGCAGCATAGATAAGAGAAGTGAAAAAAGGTATAGGGCCCTAGCCGGTTTGGCTCAGTGGATAGAGCATCGGCCTGTGAACAGAAAGGTCCCAGGTTCGATTCCGGTCAAGGGCACATGCCTGGGTTGTGGGCTCGATCCCCAGTGGGGGACTTGCAAGAGGCAGCTGATCCATGATGAGCGGATCATAGATGTTTCTATCTCTCCTCCCTCTTCCTTCTTCTCTGAAATCAATAAAAATATATTTAAAAGAAAAAGAAAAAAGGTATAGGGCTGCAACCCAATGTGATAGGAAGAAAGTAATTCAAATGGGAAGCCTGGCAGGACCTGGAGTGACCCTTTCTGAACATGATACTAGCACGCTGACAACACAGGTGCTTGTGAGGGACCTAAAATACCTGTTCACAAAAGCTTATGCAGTTAACCAATCAATGGAAACAACTGGTTATAGAGAAATAATTTTAATCAATGGGTTTTAAAACTTACATAACTGTGTTAAACATAATATATGCAACATTAAATTTGGGGTAATACATGAATTGTTTTCTATATGTGGGAACACCTCATCCTGAGCAAGTCTGAGATACCACAGTTTGACATCACTAGCAAGTTGTGACACATTTTTAACATGGCACACTCACAGAATATGTTTAAAACAGAGTTTTATCACTTAAAATTGATTTGCACATAATTTTAGACAGGATATCTACTGGTTAAAGTGAGGTATTTCTGTCTATAGTTCCAGGAGAACACACTTGAACTTCTGATAAAGGAAGCTTTTCCATACATCACAATGAAGCTTCATTTTATGAAAAGTAATTTAATGAATGAGGTGTGCATCTTGAAGGCATGCACACAGTGGAAGGTCAGTGCATGTGAATGCACAACACAGCACACCACCAACAAGCGTAGTTACCCACCACACAACTCCCTCATTACAAATGTGTCTCACCCAAAACATGCCAAGGAAGCACCGTGTAGTGTGGCCCCAGTGCCCTACGGGAATGTGTATATGTGCAAGGACGGGTACCCCGCCATGGTGGTGTGGCCTCTCTTTGTGGCAAGAAACCTGTTCCTGGACCAGTATGGCTTCGTATCTGGATCTGGCTCTTTGCCGGTGTTTGTGCTTCTCTTTGAAGAGCATGCAAATCCTGGCTTTTCTCTCTGTGCAAACAAGATATAAAAGTTGAGCTCACTTTATATTGCAATTTGTAAAGTTAGAATAAGGATTCAGGTTGGTTTACAAGGAGTTAGTGAGAAATAGTTGTTACAGTGCAGAGGCAAATCAAGCATTTGCCTTTGTCCCTCAGAGTGCCAGCTATCTATGGCCAACGTTTTTTTTTAAATTTTTATTCTTCAGATTATTACGGATGTTCCTCTCTTTTTCCCCCCATAACCCCCCTCCACCCGGTTCTCACCCCACCCCAGGACCTCACCACCCCACTGTCCATGTCCATAGGTATAAGATCTTTGTCCAATCTCTTTCTGCACCCCCCACACCCCTTCCCCCTGAGAATTGTCAGTCCACTCCATTTCCATGCCCCTGATTCTATTACATTCACCAGTTTATTCTGTTCATCAGATTTTTTATTCATTTGATTTTTAGATTCACTTGTTGATAGATATGTATTTGTTGTCACTTTGTTGTTCATAATTTTTTATCTTTACCTTTTTCCTCCTTCTTCCTCTTCTTAAAGAATACCCTTCAGCATTTCATATAATACTGGTTTGGTGGTGATCAACTCCTTTAGCTTTTTCTTGTCTGTGAAGCTCTTTATCTGACCTTCAATTCTAAATGATAGCTTTGCTGGGTAGAGTAATCTTGGTTGTAGGTTCTTGCTATTCATCACTTTGAATATTTCCTGCCACTCCCTTCTGGCCTTCATAGTTTCTGTTGAGAAATCAGCTGACAGTCGTATGGGTACTCCCTTGTAGGTAACTAACTGTTTTTCTCTTGTGCTTTTAAGAGTCTCTCTTTGTCTTTTGCCCTTGGCATTTTAATTATGATGTTTCATGATGTGGTCCTCTTTGGATTCCTCTTATTTGGGATTCTCTGCACTTCCTGGTCTTGTAAGTCTATTTCTTTCACCAGGTAGGGGAAGTTTTCTGTTATTATTTCTTCAAATAGGTTTTCAATATCTTGCTCACTCTCTTCTTCTGGCACCCCCATAATTCAGATGTTGGTATGCTTGAAGTTGTCCCAGAGCTCCTTACACTATCTTTATATTTTTGGATTCTTTTTTCTTTTTGCTCTTCTGGTGGGTGTTTTTTGCTTCCTTGTATTTCAAATCTTTGACTTGATTCTTGGGATCCTCCAGTCTACTGTTGAATCTCTGTATATTATTCTTTATTTCAGTCAGTGTATGCTTAATTTCTGACTGGTCCTTTTCCTTTTTTTTTTTTTTTTTGCATTCTCACTAAGATCCTTGAAGGTCTCACTAAGTTCCTCGGAGGTTTGAACTCTATATCCAGTAGTTTGCTTTCTTCCATTTCTTTCCTTTATGACATGTTTCTTTGTCTCAGCATTTTGGTTGCTCCCCTGTGTTTGTTTCTATGTATTGGGTAGCTGTTAAGTCTCCTTGAGTTGATAAAGTGGCCTTGTGTAGTATGTGTCCTATAGGGCCCAGTGGCTCAGCCTCCCCAATCACCTGAGGTGGACACTCTTTGTGCACCCCTTTGTGGGCTGTGTGCACAGTCTTGTTGTAGGTGAGCCTTGATTGCTGTTGGTATCACTGGGAGGAATTGACCTCCAGGCCAACTGGCTGTGAGGACCAGCTGTGTCTACAATGGAAGAGCTGCTGTACAGGAGACACCTTATGGGGCAGGACTTGCTTCAGTGGGGCTTTGGTGCTGACTCTGCCCCTTGAGTGTGTCGCTTATGGATGTGAAGAGTTGTAATCTGGTATGGCCTCACACTCACCATTGGGTACACTGGCTCTTGGATCTCCAAGGAGGTGCAAAGCCAGCCCCTGCCTGGGTCCACCCAGCAAGAGCTACAGAGAGATCTGCAGATTCCTCCTCTTTTTATCGGGTTTGGAAGTGCCCAGATACAAGCAAGGCACTGTGCAGCAAGGCAGGCTGCTGCTGGAGCCAGCCTTGGGCCTTCTTTTGGTGGCTTTGGGGCTCCCTGACCTAGCTGCAGCTT